CACAGAGGACAGAACATTTTCGGGCATCTCCATCCCCTGCCATTTTCTTTTCATTTCTTGTATTATTATTATTATTATTATTATTATTATTATTATTATTATTTATACATTTGATCACTGTACATCATTTAGATTGTAAAGAAACTTTAACCAGCATGATATACACTTCATTCCAGCCCAGTTGACAATACTATACACATCATCAACAGATAATAAACTGTATCTGTGACCCACAAATGTCTTATCTCTCTATTTTCCCCCAAATTTCCTTTCCTACACTCTTCCTCTCCCACACTCTCCTTCTACTTTGTCTCTAGTGTCCATAACAATATTCAATGTTTTTATATCCTCCAGTCTTTCAGCCTCTACCATAGAGTGTGGACAGTTGGTATATGTTAAGTGAAGACATATAATGTCTCTCTTTCATATTATGACTTACTTCACTCAGGAACAAATCTTCCATATTTGTCCACTTTCTATCAAATTCCAGACCCTTGTGGTTTTTTATAGCTGAATATCATTCCATGGAGTATATGTGTCACACTTTTTCAATGCCTTCATCTGTTTGTGGACATTTGGGTTGGTTCCATGACTTAACAATCGTGAATGATGCTGCACTAAATATAGTTTTGCAAGTGCACTTCCGACTAAGCATTCTCCTGTCCTTTGAGTAGATACCCAGGAGTGGAATTGCTGGATCATATGGTAGCTCTATTTGAAGGTCTTTGAGGAACCTCAATATTGTTCTCCACAGTGGCTGGACCAATTTACATTCCCACCAACAATGTAGGAGTATTCCCCCTTTCACCACATCTCCATCAGCACTTATCATTTTTTTTTTTTAATCTTCACCACTCTGGGTTGGGTTAGGTGGTATTTCATTGTGATTTTGATCTGGATCTCCCTTATGATGAGGAATGTTGAGCCTTTTTTTACATGCCTTTTGGCTGTTCATATGTCTTCTGTAGAGAATTGTTTATTCAGCTCATTTTCCCATCTTTTAATTGGGTTAATAATTTTCTTCTGGGCAAACTGCTGGAGTTCCCTGTATATTCTGGTTATCAGTCCCTTATCTGAGGCACAGTTAACAAAAATTCTCTACCATTGTGAGGGCTGTAATAATTCACACTATTTATGGTGTCCTTTGCTGTGCAGAAACTTCCTAACCTGATGTAATACCACCTATCTATTTGGGGGATTATTGCCTATGCTTTGGGGGTCTTGCTTAAAAATCTTTGCCTACCCCAATGTCTTGAAGAGTTTCCCCAATGTTTTTCACCAGTAGTTTTAAAGTTTGCGGACTTAGATTTAGATCTTTGACCCATTTTGAGTTGATTTTTGTTAATAGTGACAGATAGGGATTCAGAATCATCATTGTGCAGGTGAATATCCAGCTTTTACAACATCACTTGCTAAAGAGGTTTTTCTTTTCCCACTGTATTGTCTATTACCCTTCGCCAAAGTTCAGTTGGCTATATGTTTTGAGGTTTATTTCTGGGGTCTCTATGCTGTTACATTGGTCGTCATGCCTGTTTTTGTGCAAATTCCATGCTGTTTTAACTATCACAGCTTTGTAATATATTTGGGATCAGGAAGTGAGATGCCACCCACTCCACTCTTCTTGTGCAGGATGGCTTTGGTAATACAGGGTCTTTGATGATTTCAGACAAATTCTATAATTGTATTTTCTAGATCTGTGAAGAAAGTTTCTTAAAATTTGATATGGATTGCATTAAATATGTAGATTAATTTGCATAGGATTGCCATTTTGATTATATTAATTCTGCCAATCTAGAAACATGGAATGTCATTCCACTTCTTAGTGTCATTTTCTATTTCCATTTTAAGGTTTTCATAGTTTTCCTTTTTGAGGTCTTTGATTTCCTTGGTAAGATTTATTCCTAGGTATCTTCTACTTCTTATGACTACTGTAAATAGGATTACTTTCTTCAGTTCTTTGTCTATCTATTGTTTGTATATAGAAATGCTATAGATTTTTATAAGTTAATTTTGTGTACTGCCACTTTACTGTACACATTTATTACTTCAAAAAGTCTTTTCATGGATACTATTGGGTCTTCTATGTGTACATCATGTCATCTGCAAACAGAGATCATTTCAGCTCTTCT